TCCAGATAAGCACAGAGCGAGCATGGCGGTGCCGAGATCGATAGTGGGTGTGGGTTAGGAGTTAGTTGAGGTAGTACGACTGTATAATATCAATATATTGTCAGTCACTTATCTGGTCAAGTGTACCTAATTTATCTATCTACATAATCAGAGCCATTTGCCTATCTTAAGTCGTTCTGGCCTAGTCTAAATATGTCCTATGATATAGGTTAGATTTAGACAATTTCATTTCGTCTATTAAACTATTGTATACCAATGATAATAGGATAAGGATCCGAGAAAATATTGGTTTGAATATTTAAATGGAAATAAAAGGGAGGAGGAGATTGGGAAGTGGTTGTGAATTAATCTCGGTTGTTCGTAGGGGACAGGACGAAGTAGTATTGGAAGATCAGGTAAAGCGCAGTTGTAAGGTCAACAGCGGATGAGCACGTCGGGATTTCCATAGTAGCTATTATACTCATATAATATGATGCGGGAGAGGTAGGCGTATATATTAATAAGGAGCAAGTATAGAGCCTGTTAATGATTGAATTATGTGAAGACCCCGGGATGTTATAACTATCTGATGATCGTTTTATTGGACCAAGACGGCTAGCGTATATATATCATATATTGTATGTGATAGTATAACGTTCGTATATTTATACATATACTACACACACAGACTAATCAGTAAATAAGTTAGTAGTATTATATATAAATATATATATATTATATGTAGTAGTATTAGTAGTATTTGACTATAATTTATATATAATCGTGTGTTGTAGGTGTGTGTGTATGTATAATATAAGGATGGATTGTATGATCTGATATCTTCATTATGCTATTATTCACTCATGACAAGAAAACAAAAGCGAAGTGGAAAGTTGAAAACAGTTTGCCAGCAGCGGGAAAGTCTTTTTCGACCAGTAAAACTGCAGGGTGCTTTGGATTTGGCATAGACAATAAAAAAAAAAAGGAAAGAAACCAAAGAAAACAAGAAAAAACTGACCACC